TCCACATTCACTGCACAAGCCTCAGGTGTCTCAGCACCCACCATGCTAAGGGGCACCTCATCTTTACTAGCTAATATACAAATACCACCAGGTGTTAAGCCCAAGAGGGTCCAAAAGGCATTTTGAGGTTTGCAGAAGGAAACCTAGCTTTCATGGGAATTCCAGAATCAAGAGGCAGTGAGGACCACATTGGAATCCAATTAACAGTCCAAACCCAGTGTCCTCTAACAGCCCACCTGAGGAGCAAGTGCAACATCAAAAAAGCAGCTGTAGGGAGGCCTCCGTGCAGGGCCAGGAGGGCTCGGCCACATAAAACCCCAGCTCAAACTTTACAAGCCACTCAGAAGCGGGCAAGTGGTACTCTGCCCGGTCAGAAAGCTCAGCAAGTGGGGAGAGAATAGGAGCCACACTCATTCACAGGCTAAACAAGGCAGAGCCTGAGAAAAGGATTAGAGAACAAAAAGGGGGGGGGGGTGGTCAGGGATCATGGGTAGAGTTCCCCTCTCCAACTTCTAAACACAGAACCCATACTGTAGCCAGAGAAGATTCAGACACTAGGCAGAACCTGTAGCTCACCGGGAGCCCCTGAGCCGTCAGGCACACCACAAAGACTCTCACACCACCTCCATCACTACCAACCAAAGCCAGCCCTGATCCAAGACCTTTAACCATCAAGGCTGCACACAGCCACAGGAACCTTCTCAACACCGTGCCCCAGGGAGCAACCCCCTCTCAAACAGCTAGCACCTGAGCTGAATCCCCTCGGTCACTCCTGCACTAGAAGATTCTTCTTGAAACGCTGCCCACTCCCTCCATTTGTCATTAGCCCCGCTGCTGGAACAGCACAGCACGAAGCACAGAGCCGGAGGACTCCACTCCGGAGAGGAAAAGGCCTGGCAAATGCTGTATGGAAGCCTCATTCTGTTGTCTATGTTGCTGGAAATGGACTACTTTTTCATCCATGGATGAAGCAGCCTTCTCCAAATGTGCTTTTCTCGCCCTACCAATGTCCTCTCTCAGTGATTTGACCTTTTACGAGCAAGGAGACTAACCTCATGGAGAGATTAGCCACTTCAGCTACCTCACCAGTTTCTGCCTTCCTCACCTCTGTCTTCATGGGCAGACCTCATCATCTCCTAGGTTTTGGGGAAACTCCTCTAAAGGCTCTAAAAATCCTTTGTACCAGGTTGTTCTTCACAACTACAATCAGAAATTACACTTTGCCGTCTTAAGCCAATGTATCCTTTTAATTCAATGCTGGATATCTCCAAGTGTCCACCTTACAGGTCGCAGACCATCACTTGACAGGGTTTACTTATTCTCTTAACGAGAAGACAGGGTCTGGTCCAGAAAACTGAAGCAGAAGTTTTAAGCCCAACAAAATGCTTTTGAAGTAAGCCAGTAGAAAACCCTCAGAAAACACCTTTAGGATCCTAAGGATTTCAAACCCTTTTTGTTTTTAAATCCTCAATTCCATTTATTATCCTTACAATTATTCTGCACCTTTTCTCTTCAAGAGGAGATTGAGTCATCAGAGCCAGCTGGCCCTCTGAACATTTTTCTGGTGTCTGGAAATAAGATCACTTGCAGGGACCAACTAATTTATTTTCTCTAGCTAACCTCATAAAAATGCAGACTTTAATGCCAATCAGGTTTTTTTTTTTCCTCCATCCGTATCTAAGTTCATGCCTACAACAGGACCATCGGTTTAAGGGACGGAAGCTAGTCATGCATCGTTTGCTGCAACATTTCATCAAGTGGTCATACCCAAAATGTACAAAGAAATAAGAATGAGAGTGGAGAAGAGCAAAGAGGTACAAATAGCTTAAGGGTCTCTCTCCACACCGAAATCCCATTCCAACTTCCTGCTTCAGCACTGCTGTGCTATCAGAAAAGGCCTCTGTTGGCTGCCAGCCATGACCTTCAAAGCAGCATCCAGTGGCCTTCACTTTTTGGGAGATTGGCTCGGTTGCTGACCACAAAGGCTCCACACCACTCTTGTCCCAACTGGGTACAGAGTTCCAAAGTTAACACTGGAGAATTCCAACGGCAGGTCACCTCCAATTCATCAACATGCAGTCCTGGATTCTAAACATTCCTATACTTAATAGGAAGTAAGAGGATTGTAGGGTGTAAAAAACGTTTTGGAGAAATTTACTTGATAGCATTTTAAACCCAAGCCCAAACCGATCCTGGATCCTTCCAGGCCAATCGTGTAGCAGGAAAGGGGTCGTTGGGGAAGTGGCATATGGTGCCAGGCCTAAGAACAGTCATTGTCTGATGTCTGTAATAGCTTAACCATGGCTTATATGGCAAGGATGGAAACCATCTGGAAAAGAAACAAGGACTCAACCAACTGTTATGAAAAAGGTTTTCCCCCCACTTGTCATGTTTTCTTTTTCTCCTTTCAACTGAAGATTGTTCCAGGTTTGGTTTATCCATCCCAAAGAAATCTCATCTAATATTGCCATTTGGAAAGGAAAAGAATATGTCACAATGGGGGTTGGTATTTCATACACATCACACATACATTCCATTTTCTATACATAACCAAAGGATAATATTTAGTGCTGTTACAATAAATCTATTCCAGATCTTGCCAATAATAGGTAACGGAACAAGAAAGGGTTTTTTTTTTTTTTTAATACAAAGGAAAAGCTTTGACTCTTGGGTACCCATGTTAAGTTATACAGTCAAGCCCTCCCATCTGACACAATTGGGGCTGAGGTAATGAGTGGTGAGAACTAATTAAAGCACAAAATCCTTTTAAGGTAACCAATACCTTAAAACTTTATTTAATCTGCAGCTATCAAAATTGACCATCCCGGTTTGCCTGTTATGAGATATGGCACAGTAAGGGTGTACACTTTCACACCCAAGCTATGGGTGTGAAAAGGTCATTTCAAGCTATGGCCTTTCTTTGACTAAGAGTCTACTAACTAGAATTATCCGTGGACCTTCTGTCATGAACTCCTCCAATGATGTGGTCTGGGATTTCCAATCCCCGTTTCTGTGAAATCGAGCAAGAACGGAGATACTTGTGAAGACTAGAGCCCTTCTGTATTTTTTCCCATGTTCCCCAACTCTTAAAAGATGTCCCAACCCACCTATGTTGATGAATGCTTTGATAGTAACTAGTTTTGAATCTTGTCCAAACTATTCCATGTATTTTGAAAGCAGTGATTTTTATACTCCTGTTTAATCCGTTTATAAGATATTCACCTACTATTTCATCCCATTACTTAAGTCCAATAGCAAGCGCGATTGGCATAAGGAGGCTGGGGAACAAACACACCGATCCTGTCAGCACCTGGTTCAAGCACTCCAGCAGGAAGGCATGTGTGTCTTGGGAGAGCCCTGGACCAGCTGGTGGTGCTCGGTGTGCTATGGGGATAAGTTATGTGTTTTACATGCCACAGGTATTACACGAGACTGTAGAATACCTAGGTTAATGCAAGTCAATGGCATAGCTGTTTAAAAAACTGTACTTGAAATATTTATATTCCAAAAAAGTGTATTTACCTAACAGGAATTAGTTCATTCGGATTCTGATCTAGCCTATTTCAGTGTTCATCTGCTTTGCCCTGCCTACTCTCATGGGAAATACCAATTCATATTCCTGTCCCCTATCTCTACTGGTTATTAGCTATACTTCAATATTTCACTTCAATGGTATTCAGCACCTTATATATTGGAATTTGTTCTAGATCTGGATTTGGGGGAAGGTGGGGTCATGCCAAGTCCTAGGTCACAGACCTTTTCATCAGGTAGATTTATATATATAACTGGAAAAAGTGTCAAGCAGGTGATAAAACTAATGATTAAATATATATTGCCTATTTTTATAGTACAGAGTTCATGGTCACTCAGTGCTACAGGCAGCTGACACGTTAACAGTCACTACTGAGGCTCCTACAGACCTCACTGTTTCCAACATGATTAGGAACCCTCCCACCCCTGAGGTGTAGGAGTCTGCTATACAATTACTCGCTGGCCACAAAAGTTGTCACCAGAGACCCTAACCTCCTTGCACACCTAATACCAGATGACTTTAAATTACACAGTTGCCATGTACATTCATCCCCTCCCTCCCTCCATCCCTGGTTCTCCAACAAGGAAATAGGAAGTGAAGGGACCAGAAACCATCCCTTCTACTCCACTCAGTTACCACATCCGAGGTATAGACTGGGCCTCTAGAAGATGACTTATGCTCTCTTAATTAGTGTCCTGAATTAAGACCACAACCTGAATAAAAGCAAAACTATTCAAACATGGAAAATTTCTACGTATAAAATAATTTATAGTTTTTTTTCTTCTCTTTATGTTACTAGATACTTGCCTCAACTTGACCCAATGCCAGGAGGAAATCAGGCCCCGGTTTTAGATCCCTTTCACATAAAAATTGGCTACGTCACAGAAGTAACTGCTTTCGTTGCCATTCAACCCACATGTATAGATGGGGAAAACAACAGGTACAGGAAAATGGCTGCAGGAATGGCCCCCAGTAGGGTTCTGGTATGATCACTGGCAAACCATTCTGAACCACAAGTACATCCACTTGACACGATATTGCTTTCAATCTACAGACGCCCCATCCTACACTGACCGGAGATTTCCCTGTCACCTGAGCACAGCCTGGAGGCTCAGCCCCCACTTCTTCACAGCGAGCTTCATGGAGCCACCAGAAGGCATGTGAATATCACTTCAGTTGGCTGGAGGTTCACACTAACACAACCCCATCAAGAATCTCATCAACAATCTGTCTTACCTCAAGCTCTGCTGACTAACCAAAAAGCAAAGGAAGTTGCAATGAAACAGGGCTTCAAAAACTATTGCCAAAAATGACTTCACTAAACTAATCACCTGTGGTAAGGACTAACCGCAATGAATAGCATACTCCCAAGTATTTTATTGGGATTAACATTTAGATGACATTTCTTATCACACATTTAATCACTCGAGGGCCGATGGCAAGTTCCCCTTCTGCACCTGTCACTCACCAATGCAGGCATGGACCCTCACGGACAGCTGTGTCCTCAGGACGATGCTGTGCTTTTTGCCCCGCCTAAAGGAGACAGGAGACAAAATATACATGGGTATCAGAGTAGTCACCAAAAAGACACATACATGCTATCAATCAGCTTTAAGGTTCTGGCACACCCACCTCAAAGAGATTCTAGATCAGCAGGGACCTGTACAGAACAAGAATTTATCCAGAAATAACATGTCACAGGGCTTTACAGAAAATAAAACAATCCGGTTTGATTCTGTTGGATGGGCACACAGCTTTTATTACCAAACCTGGTCAACTCATCCCGTCCACAGAGTCTGCACACACCCATGCTGGGACAATTTTAAGATCTGTGCCCAAGTGAAATCCCTGGAATAGGACAACACAAACCTGCTTGATCATTCCCCTGACCACGTTTACATTTTTGGATATAGAAGAAGGGCATACACAGTGGAGTCACCACAAAGAGCTGGCTTGCTGTCCATCAGGGCAATACTGTTACAGCTTTTACTCTTCGCTCACAGGAAGGTGGGAGTCCACCCAGTAGCTTACAGGCTATTTATTCTCAGGAATGCCAATTTACGCCATGCTTTGTCTCCCCTCCTCCTCTTTCTCACTTCAGGGAAGCAACCAGGATGGCCCTGTGCCCCAACTCTGCTCCCGGGGTCGGGGGTGGGAGTGGGGGGTCCTCCCACCCTGAGCTGAGGACTAAACCACATAGCAGTTAAGCAGATATATGGGAGAAAAGAGCAGACCCGTCTACCTAAGGGCAGCAAAGGCTTTGAGATTTGGACAAAGTGGGGAGCCGGTGGACAAAGATGAAATGGAGCCAGCCAACCAGCACAGCAGCAGATAACCTGCTGGCTCTCGAAGCTGCTGAACCCCCTGCCATCCCTCTTCTGGCAGCTCCTTTATCCCCATCAGGGCTTCCCCTACAACACAGCCTGACAGTGCTTTCCTGCTTCCTGCACTTGTGGCTGTGTTGGAAGGAAGGGAACAAATCTGACCAAGGCACATGGTTAATATCGTGGTTATAAATTCACAATCACCGAAACAGTGTATTTTATTCTCGAGACCAGGTAAGAGGACAAAGAAGTACGGTTTTTAAAATGGTTTCTTTCAAAGGAGAAAGGAAAACCCCTTGCATAGTCCTGCAAGAGGAGGCAGTAGCCTCCACCCCAGCAGCTGCTCGTAAGCACAAGACCTACATTTATGGTCCCTTCAGATCCCTCCTTTCTACTTTGTGTTCATCTGATGCTTTCACATTTGCCATGTGCAAGGCACTGGGCTCAAGGAGCTTGTAACAAATACACAACGCTTGACCCATCTTCACAAGGTTGGATTCCTATCAACCCAGACTTCAAGACTTTCTACACACACACACACACACACACACACACCCTTTTCCTCTTGACAATCTAGATGTTGACACTCCCTCAGTTCTTGTGATCATACTAGAAAGTCCTAAGCGCATGGAACAGAATGAGGGAGAAGACTTCAGTGTGTTCTGGGAAAAGGCAACAGGAAATGGGTTCCGGGACGGTGGGGCAGGGAGCAGCCACCAAGTGTGTAGTTTCACCCAGAGATGGGCAGAAGCCATGCTTGGAACAGTGACCAGAGAATCAAAGAGTGAAGGCCAGACCCTAATTATGAGTAATAGCCAACCCTAAGTCCACAGATATGATAACATGAGTTACAGAAAATCTTCCAGGAGTTATGAGTCAATAAATAAAGTATGGAGACAAAGTACATGCTTTAGATGCCCAGATGTGGGGGGAAAGTAGGGAATGGCCGGGTAAAATATTTCAGAAAACCTCAGGTTCTGGAAAAGTTCAGAAGGGCCAATTGATAGCCCTGCTTTTATCTTTAAACAATGACAAAAATCCAATGTTGAGGAAGTGCTTGTTTTCCCACAGAACTCTCCGGTCCCACAGTAGGCATGTGGTATGGTGGCTCTGGGATTCCAGGCACTTGCACGCAAACAAGGACGGTCTTCCTGAGGAAGCGATGGCAGGCACACCATACTGGAGGGGTCCTCTTTTCTGTGCTTGTACACTGAGAAAGCAAGCAATCGGCTTGGTTATGCTAAACCCTAAGGGAATTTATAAAGCCACAGAACAGGGGCGTCTGGGCGGCTCAGTCAGTTAAGTGTCTGACTCGTGGTTGCCACTCAGATCATGACCTCACCACTCAGGCCATGACCCTGTGGTTCAGGAGTTCAAGCCCCGCATTGGGCTCTGCACTGACAGTGCAGAGCCTGCTTGGGGTTCTCCCTGTCCCCTCCGCAGTGCCCCCCACTAAATAATCTTAAAAATGAATGACCACAGAAAAAAAGGCCTATTTCATAGTTTAGCACTTATAATTCCTCTGCTTCAACATTCTACCTCCTTCTCCGCCTGCCCCCATACACAAAAGCCTCAGTTAAAGAAACCTGTGTGGAATTGGGGGCCATGGCAACAGCAGTCCCGAGACAAAGGAGGCTCCAAATCCCAGGAATTCCTAGCACAGAAGAGGACTAGCCTAGGCGGAGGGAAGTGGTGATCATGCAGGCAGGTCCACAGAAGGTGTCCTTCACCTCCCACCCCACCCCCCATTTCTCCCACCTTTGATGTGGGTGTCATGGCTATGCCCACTCTGCAGATGAGGAAAGTAAAGCTTGGAGAAAGGGGATCAACCGCATCAAGTCACATGGCTGGTGGAACAGACCCAGGCTGAAAGCAGGACGACTCCAGAGTCACCTGCACCATCCTGCCCTTTGCTGCAGGGTCACCTCACTAGGTAACCTTCCCCAGAGCTTACAAAGGGTCAAGAGAGGCATTCTTAGAGACTGGCTTAACCTCAAGGCTAAGAACCTAACAAAAAAGCACACGCATTAAAAAATTACAATGCAGGGACACCTGGGTGGTTCAGTCAGTGAAGCATCCAACTCTTGATCTCAGCTCAGGTCATGATCTCATGGTTTGCAATATCAAGCCCCACGTCAGGCTCCGTGCTGACAGCATGGAGCCTGCTTGGGATTCTCAAAATAAGCATTTAAAAAATAATAAATGGGGGAAGAGAGGTTTTAAAAAATTATGATGCAAATGAAGAAAATATTGGCTAACCAAATTAGGTTTATTCGAAGAATTCAAGAATTACAGCAAGTTTCAGGTTTTAGAGATGTATCAAAGATTGGGGCACCTGGGTGGCTCAGTCGGTTAAGCGTGTAACTTCAGCTCAGGTCACGATCTCACGGTTAGTGAGCCCCCCAGCATGGGGCTCGAAAGCCTGGAGCCTGCTTCAGATTCTGTGTCTCCCTCTCTCTCTGTGCCTCCCCCACTCACACTGGGTCTCTTGAAAATAAGTGTCAAAAAGAAAAAAAAAGTTTAAAAATGTATCAAAGGTCAATGCATGGAGGACACCAATCATAAGGACCCTTTAAATCTGATTACTTCCCTCCCTCCACAGCTTTCTTACTGGACATACTAGAGAAAGAGATTTTTATTTAATATGTGACCCTCTCACTTTCCCTGACTCTACAATCTTTTGGCTAATTCTTTTCGCTTTAGAGAAATAAAGGTATCTAATTATTTAATCCCCACTTTTTCCAGTAAATATGCCCGCATCTCCTGTTTCACAGCTTAAAACTTTGAGGAAATTAAATCACAGATATACTTTTCCTCTGCCCCCAATAGGATACTAGGTCAGTTTGGGTTCAGACAATAATCCTAAATTGTTAACATTTACGGAAAGCTTATTATGTGCCAGGCCTGTAACTACCCTCTTTTTAGTTAGACTTCATTTTTAAAGACAAGTTTTAGGTTCACAACTCCCTTCCTCCAAAGGATCACCCCAGCCTCTCTGGTCCTTAACGCTTCTCACCTGGGTACCAGGCCTCTCTCTATGCAGATTTGGTCTTCACAAGATTACTACGAAGTAGGTTACATGGCCATTTTTACAGTGAGGAACTTAAGGCCCAGAAAGGTTAAGCAACCTTGCTGAGGTCACACAGCTAGAAATTCAAAGAGCTCAGGCTCCTCCCAGCAAGTCTGACCCCAAAGCCTGAACTATCACCTCCCTACATCTGCCTCCCAGATTGATGTTCCTTCATTCCCTTGGTCCACCCATGTTCAAAGGTGTCTACTTTGTGCTGGAGAGCACAGGATATGCCAAGGTAAAAGGTACATCCTGCCTCAAGACAGGAAAAGAGAACTCCTCTCACTTCATAGCAAAGTTATGTGTACAAGGAATGGACACACATCCTGCTGTCCTTTCCCTTCTTCCCAGGAGCTGGGAGGCAGAGAAGAAGGTAAAAGCTGAAGAAACCACTCTGGACACACAGATGGAAGGATTTTGAGGACATGACAGCTGTTCTACCAGACCTAAGGATGACTGTCTACGTTTGAACTCTTAAACAAGAAACAAATTCATCTTACTTTTTTTCCATTTATTTATTTATTTTTTTTTTTTTTTTTAAGACAGAGTAGGAGCCCAGGAGAAGGGCAGAGGGAGAGAGACAGAACTTTAAGCAATCTCCATACTCCACAACCCTGGGATCCTGACCCGAGCCAAAACCAAGTCGGACACTCAACCCACTGAGCCACCCAAGTACCCCCAAACTTATCTTTAAACGTTCCTATTTTGGTTCGAGATCTACCCTAACCACTACATGCTTTCTTGCCTTAATGATGCTAGAAGACGAGCAGCCATATTTGAAGGGTGATCAAATCGGAAAGATGGAAGTCACATCCTAAAGACGGCAAAGTAGAAGGATAAGATAAGTCCGGGCTCCTATGAGCGTCTTGTCATCAACACATCATCCTTCAAATGGCCCTAATTACCCTCGTTTTAATTGGACCTCGTTTTTAAAGAGAAGTTTTAGGTTTACAACTCCCTTCCTCCAAGGGATCACCCCAGCCTCCCTGGCCCTTGATGCTTCTCACCTGGGTCCCAGGCCAATGTGTCTCACCTGGTCACCTCATACCTCGAGTATGGCTCGACACAACCGAATTTGCAGGAGCCCTCTCCCTCTCCCCAGATGGCTCCCACCCCAGAACCTTGCTACTTTTCTCAAG